AAAAATTAATTTAATTATTTTTATTTGTCTTAATTTATTTTACGAAAATAAAAATTTCATCTCTTTTTTCAGTGATTTTCTTAAAAATATTAATTCATTAAATTATAATTACTAATAATTATTAGTACCAGCAATTGTCATTGTTTGTTATGGGTGAACAAAATATCGCCGTGACAAAAGCAAGAAAAATAAAACTGAGAAGGACAAGACACGCTGCCATAAACGAACTGAAAAGATCGTTCGGCCATCTCCTTAATTGATTTGCGGTGCCCTTAAGCATCAGGCTGTGGTGTCGAATGCTACGAATCGGATCTTCAATATATACATACGGAAGCTCAATGACCTTGTTTTTATCTTCATTCAAGAAAGGAAGTTTGTCTTCACTAAAATCTAGAAATTTTTTAATCTTTTTTCATAAATATATATTTTATAAATAATATTTATTAACAAAATATTATTTTTTACACAAATATTAGATTTTTATCATAAATATTTAAATAACTTAAATAGTTAAATGACTTTTCAATGATGTACGTCTTATTGATGTTATCATTTAATGTCATCTTTTTATATGCATTATTCCATTATCATATATTATATGATATAAATATTAATATAAATTTTTATATAATCACATTATGCAAAAATAAAAAAAAATGTTTATGAAGATTTTGTGTCTCTTTACATGTTATACATTATAATTGGAGAATTCTGAGAACTTTCATAAAATTAAAATTTAAAGAAATATAATATTATATGACATTTTATATCATACTGTCTATATAATATTTTGTTAGGATGATAAATACATACTTACGTTCAGTTTTCCGCATTCCAACAGTTTTATTGCACTGCACCTTTAATCGATCTACTTAGACGCTTCAAAGTCTCGATGTAATTTGATGAGTGATCACTTTCAGCAAAGCCAAGCTGATTTAAATCCAGTCACAGCGACCGACATTGAGAAATCGGTGAGTTGTTCCTATTGTGCAATTCAAATGTATCACACTTTCGCAAGTTAAATACGAATTTGCTCGATAGGACTTATTCATAGTCCGTTCTTATTTCAAGATTGTATAATCTTAATAAGTAATGTCTTAAGACGCTAGTATACGGTCCTCTGATTGGTTCGTGATTTCTTAAGACTGTCTTGAGACGATTTTGAATATAAGATTGAATATAAGATTGATCTGACTATGAATACCGTCCTTAAATTATTTATCTAACTTATCCTAGTACACTGATGGTTTCTTTATCAAATCTGTCTTCACCGGAACAAGATTATATCTTTTTCCATCACATCTAATTAAGTCGTAATTTAATACATTATAACAAACGTTTGATTATTTTACAAGATCTTTTACCCGTGAGATTTACTTTTTAGACAAATGTAGAGCGAGTTTCCTGACTGACGCGATTCAAAGTCTATCGAAACGCGCTATTGCAATTCTCGAAGTATCGAAACAATCATTGTGACTATCGACAGCTATTGCAATATTCGATAAAGAAAGAGAGGATCTTCACAAAAATAAAACGCAGGCACGTTCTATCTCTGATAAACTCACTTCTCTCTGATAAAAATCATTGAAATAAGATTTATAATATCTTACGATTAAAAATAACAATCCCTTTAATGTAGTATCATTTGTTATTCTTCTGCTGTTTTTATTCTGAATTATATTGTATGCATTTATTAAAGTGCTTTGAGGTTAAGTCTCTCATCGTGATTACTTGAATTGGGAACGAGCTTCAAAGAAGAAATAATGTCAGCCGCAAAGCCTGAAGTAAAGAATTGGAAGGAGTACAATCGTAAACGGAAGGAATTTCGAAAACAATGGAAGGAGGAAAAATTGACAAAGAAGATGAAGAAAGAAGATCTCGAAAAAGAATCAAAAAATAAGGCGCAGGAGTATACAGAAGAAGGTAATACGAAATATGAGCGGAGGGACATTTGTACCATCAGCATAGCAGTACCTGGGTCGATCCTTGATAATGCGCAATCCCCAGAACTACGTACCTACTTGGCAGGACAAATTGCACGTGCTGCATGCATCTACAAGGTGGATGAGATCGTGGTGTTCGATGACAAGGGCGAGATCACAGAGGATGAGAAGAGGAAGGTCAAAAAGGACGATATGCTGGGTGAGGCTAGGCTCGGATGTCTACAACTAGCCAGGATATTACAATATCTCGAGTGTCCACAATATCTGAGAAAGTACTTCTTTCCAATTCACAAGGACTTACAATACGCGGGTGTGCTAAATCCATTGGACGCGCCACATCATCTAAGACAGGAGGATGAATTTTTATATCGAGAGGGTATAGTTACCAATAAGCCTATAAAGGCTGGCAGAGGTTCTCAAGTGAATGTAGGATTGTTAAATGAAGTTCATGTAGATAAGGTGCTTATGGCTGGGTTAAGGGTGACAGTGAAAATACCATCTGATCAACCAAATCGGAAGAAAATGAAAGGTATTATTGTACCACCTAACATGCCACGTGCAGAGACTGGTATCTATTGGGGCTACAATGTCAAACTAGCCAAAAATCTAACAGAGGTGTTGACAAATTGTCAATATAAAGAAGGATATGATTTAATGATTGGAACATCTGATAAGGGAACATCGATCGATGAGATAAAAGCAAAAAGTTTAAAGTATCACCACTGTCTCATAGTATTTGGAGGTCTCGCTGGATTAGAAGCTGCCATAGATGTGGATCCATATTTAAACATTGATGATTCGTCTCTAGTATTTGATAAATATATAAATACGTGCCCACAGCAAGGTTCACGAACAATTAGAACGGAAGAAGCTATTCTCTTGACTTTAGCTGAATTGAGAACTAAATTAGTAGCTAAAGAAATCTTAGAAAAATAATAGTTGTATAAATGATAGAAATAATCAAATAAAATAAATACATTTGTCTTCTAAAATCATATTGGATTTTATTACATTAATTGATACTTTCTCAAAAATATAAATCTTTGTATACATATATATTTTTTATACATTTGTATAAAATTTGTAAGTTGTAAAATGCCAAATCTTTATTTATTATCGCAGAAATGCTTTGTATATTTACAATATCCTCAGTTGTCACCGCTGTGTTGAATGATTGTGTCCCAAATAGCAATTTACTGTGTCTCTAAGTGTCCTTATTACTTTAGCTTGATCAGCAGAATTTATAATAGATGTGCCTGATACGATCATATTGGCACCAGCCTAAAAAGTAATATTAACATGAAAATAATTAATGATTTATAGCAAATTCACACAATCACACATTAGATTAGTACACACTAAAAGTTGCTGTGCATAAAATTAATAAATTTAATTGTAGAAACTCAAATATTTTATATGAAATAATGACTGTCACATTATTTAATAGAAAATGTATTATTTCATTGATTATATTATGCCATTGCATTGAGACTATATAACATTTTTAATATGCTTAAATCTAGTATAGTATGAATAAATCGAGGTCAGTATTATAGTTTTACATGTGTCAACGTCTGATTGAATTATTTATATATTGCAGTAATCTTTGACAAATTGCACCTTTGCACAAACTTCAATTGTAGCTAGTCCAACTCCACCATCAACTTCAATATCTAGTTCAGGATAGTTCTCCCTTAACCATGCAACTTTTTTTAACATCGATTCCATAAATTTCTGTCCACCGAAACCAGGTTCCACAGTCATCACTAAAATCATGTCTGCTAAATCCACGTAATCTATCACCACATCCACAGGCGTTCCTGGCTTGAGTGCCACACCAACCTGTTTTTTAATTGATTCCATTAATTAAATGTAATAATATTAACAAAATATTAATTTTTGTAAAGAGTACCAACTTTCATTCCTGCTTCCTTCACTTTCCTACAAACTAAAGGAACATTCTCTATTGGCTCCACGTGGAATGTATATTGATCTACACCAGCATCAGCCATGGGTTTGATCCACTGTAATTATTTCAAACTGTAAAATGAAGTTCACTTTGGCCAAAATTTTAATAATGCCCATGTATGTCAAAATCTTAATATAATACAGTTTTAAAAGTATGAAATATGAGTTTTGAGATGTCTTATATCCTGATTTTGAATATATATACTATCTAGATATCTTTAAAAATTTTGACCAAATTAAAGTTACTTCATTTTACAATAAATTATTAGACCTATATTTAAAACGTGCTTATGACAATGTTAGTGCATTAACATGTTATAGTTTACAATTTACGTTACGCATACTACAGAATTTCAGAGATAAAAGTGGGCTTTTATACATAAAAAACGCATTCTGAATTTATAAAATTTAAACATGTTATCTTGCAGTTTCTGATCTTGCAGGAAAATCTTGTTTAACTTTCGCATACACCTGGTATGTTTTTTTCGTTATCCAACCAAAAACTATCAGCTATCTTCATCTTAAAAAATCAAAAGATAATCTTAGCCATGCTTCTGATTGCATAACGAAAAAACGCCAATGATCTCTTGACAGCGAGTGTGGCAGAATAGACAGCATACTGATTCTGTTATGCTCGAGATGTCGGATTTGATTTCTGGTAAAACTAAAATATTTTCACTCTCTTCTCGGAAGGAAGAGACAACCCATCGAGAGTATCCTTACTAAGAACACTTCTCTAAACAAAAACTTCATTGTTCGAAATCGATGTTAAACTGTAAGTCCCATATGAACTGTATGTACACCACAGTATATGAGAGAAATCACTACTCAAACATAAGCAACAGGATTAAAAAAGAGAGATACCTGCTCCGGTTTGGATACCATCATGTGTGTCTCGAAGAAAGCATCTTTTATTTTATTACGAAGACACTTGACAATCGGATGACCAAACGTTAGATTTGGAACAAAATGACCGTCCATCACATCTAGGTGCAAGTAATCCGCGCCATTATCCAATAACTTTTGCGATTCTTCATAAATTTGCGCCAGATCACTGTTCAAAATTGAGGGGCCAATTTTTGCACTCAAATTCTTTGCCATGCCGTTCCGAATGTGCGCGGATGAGAATGTTCCACGAAGCTGCTCCCAAAAAAATATACGTACGCACATGTGTTCTACACATAGATAAATTAAAATAAAAAGTATTCAGCGTGATATACGTATTACGTAAACGAGTAATACACGAGATTCATGTATCTGGTGATAATCTATATTGCTTAACAGTTAACATAAATCAATATGAGCATCAGTGCCATGTTGGTCAAAAAATAATTTCACTAAATCCCTGCTTCACAATTCACTAAAAGGCCCCAAAATTCCTATAAATTATATAGATTGACTGCGTTCAGCCAGAAAACACAACTTTAAGATTCTTGATTGGTTCATATTAATATGGTCCAATATTTAGATCCAATGAGCAATTGAAAATAAGAACATATATAATAAAAGGAGTAGAGGACGCTGATAATAAAAATTCATCAAATAAAGAAAATAATTTATTAAATCACCAAAAAATCTTAAAAATCACTAAATTAATGAAAAATTATCAAAAACAGCAACACTGACGAGCATGCATGATTAGGTTAGTCTTGTCTGATTTCTGCTAACACGTGGAAACTGAAAAGTGGAAACCCATGAAATATGAATGAAATCAAACAATTGTCTGGGACATGAAATTTGATCATAAAACCATGATTTTAAGCTTAATTTCACATTTGACATTTATAGAACGCTCTTATTTGAACTAAGTCTTATTTGAAATAAGTTTATTTCACAATGTAAACAAATTACATTAACGGAGCATATCGAAATGGAGGTTTCTATCGAGACACGAAAACCATCGAAGATTGGCTTATTTTTTATTGCCGCTACAGGTTCGTTAATATTGTTTTTATTATTGAATTTAAATTAATCAGTTGCGCTGATTTCAATAAGCTCTCTCCGTGTCGCCAGGCGGGATTGCAACAGCGATTAGTGTCGTGTGTTTTCCATTTATCAGTCCTGCATTTCGCAAGATATGTTTACCGTACGTGCCAGCTACGCATCAACAAATAGAGAATGTTATTCGAGCGTTAAACGGCCGCTCCGGCTCCTTGATTGATCTCGGCAGTGGCGATGGACGTATTGTAAGTATGATAATCCAGTCACTTGAGTTATTGACTTACAAGCAAAGAATGTTGTGGTTACTTTTCTTTTAGGAGACATAATCGACACAAGTGTCATTTTATTTTTGTTATTTATTGAATGTCAAGGAGAGAATAGAATGACGTTTATGTCAATTGCTTTCCTTTTAGAAGATTTTGGGTACTTTCCAGCTAGACACAGATAATGCAGTGAATGCTTTCCAGAAAGAGATACAAAGTTTGTTTTTTATTCTATACGAACTATCCTATATGAACTAGATTACTAAATCCTTCTTTCTTGTTTTTGTCAAATACCAAATATCTGGTTCATTTTAAGTTTTAAAAATGTATTCAGCATAGAAAATAAATCTACAATATATCACAGTGATCAGCTTTATTTAATATTGACAAACAAAAAGGATATAATAATTCACTATGTTATATTGTATCATCTGTGTTTCTCACTGGAAAGCATCCAAAATCTCCTTAAAAAAAATAGCTTATATGTACACATAAAAAAATATAATTTTATATATTTTTTATATATATTTAAAATAAGTAAAAAATGCAAGCCAATGTAAGTCAACACTGAATGGTAACATGTAAAACTTGTGTGTAACATAAGGCCTATTCTTTTTAGTTGAACTTTTGCACTAATTCATTTTTCTTCTTCTTTTTTCCTCTTGAAGGAAAAAGGAAGAAAAATGAACTGATGCAAAAGCTAAAAAGAACAGACTTAATAATTGGCAATTATAAATGTTTTGACCACAATTTAGATCATCTTCAGTATAACAAATAAATAATACAAATTTAAATATGGAACATTACATTAAATTTTGATAATATAAATATTTTGATGTATATAATTAATATTTTGATGTATATAATTAATATTTTGATGTATATAAATGAGACGCTTTATAAAACTGATGATATGTCATGAGTGTAATGTCAAAAATAATTGTTCATGGATAAAATCTTCAATCGTCTATTCTATTTAGAAGAATATATATTTTTATAGTCCAATATTAAAATATCAGACTGAAATATTAAATGCACGATGGATATTTCAATTTACTGCTCAAAAACTTACATTATAATTTAAGGTCTTATGAGTCGTCAAATAGAGCACATTTATGTCTGATAAAACGTTTATTCCAAGAAGTCTTAACTAATAAAGAACAAGTGAGCGTATTTGTTAGAGTCATAAATAAATACAGAATAAAGGCTTGGGTATCAAAGGCTTTTGTGGGAAGTGTATAGAATACTCCATACATCAGAATTTTTCATGTATAGAATTTCACATATGAACTATTTTTTCAAAATAATTAATGTTGGTAATAACTAGTACTTTTTTTCTGCCTTGAGAAGATTGAAAACGTATATTGTTCTACGTTGCAGCAAGTTCAATTTCAGAGATTAGCCTTTTATTTATAATATTTTTTCCTTGTTTAAAATCTTAACATCGGTCCAGTCAGTCATTTATATATATTATATATATTATAATTTTTTTTGTACATTAGATGTAAATATTTAAAATAAAATAAAATTTCTGGAATATAATTTTTATGAACAACTCTTATTAATATAATTTTATAAATATAAAATTTTAATTAAACAACTTTAAAAAGAATATTCTTAAAAAAATACAGTTGGTAATCCTATACGCAAGAGACATACTCCGTGAAATGTCAAACAGGGATAAACTTTTTCTCTCTTCCAACGATCGAAACAAATGATAATTTATAAATAGGTTCTCACAGCAGCAAAACGTGGCTTTAAAGCCTATGGTATCGAGTTAAATACCTGGCTAGTATGGTATTCGAAGCTTCAAGCACTGATTAACGGTCTATCGAGCGACACTGCGTTTCACAAACAAGATTTATGGAAACATCACCTAGGAAAATATGATAATATCGTTATATTTGGAGTAGATCAAATGGTATTTTATAATTTTTTATTTATAATTTTAAATTATTATATAATTTTTCCTTAATATTCATCATGATCTTCGAGAAAAAAATGTATATCAAGAAATCATCTTTTTTACAGATGGAAGATATTGAAAAAAAATTTAAAAGCGAATTGCGCAAAGATTCCCTCGTAATCGCATGTAGATTTCCTCTTCCTAACACGCATCCTGTTATGACGATTGGACATGGAGTTGATACCATTTGGGTTTACAAGATATCTCAGCAAATTTAAGGTAACAAAGGATATATACTTAGATTGAATAAATTATAATACAAAATAATTGTTGTGTATTTAATACTATTATGTGTTTATTAAAGTACATACAACATTAACGATCTTTGTATTTACAGTAAGAAAATAAATTTGTATTATTCCTAGATTAATGTGCCGTGAATAATTAAATAAATTATGTCATTTGTTATGTTTATGAAACAGCTCTGACCTACTTATATAATCTCTATCATGTTAGCTTAAATTTTTAATACATTTTTCAACTCATAAGTTTCTGTTATTATAACGGACTACTCAATGCAATAAATATGCATTTTGCACCAACGTTTTTCTATCTATTACATTTATATCTACTTTTTTAGATGTTGTAGAATTTTTGAACACTATAGGATTCTTTTAAAATGCATAATGATATGTACGTAATTGCATTTATAAATAATTAATATTAAGTATTATATACATAAATGCAATATACATAGTCTATAAGATTTTAATTATATGATTAATGATCTGTGATAAAGAACTGAGCAATGAGATTTGAAAATCCGATAACAGGTATAGCTAAATGAAATAATATCGAACATATACCTAGTTTTCCTTCTTTCTTCAAAATGGATAAATGTAGTAAATTCGGGAAAGTAAAAACGTAAATAAGTCCGCTTAAAGCGCCAGTATACCTGACAATAGTTCCGATGTAAGGTACAAACGTCGCGAAAATGATACATATAAAAACTAATACAAGATTAATGAAGAGCACTAAGCTTCTGTTAGACGCTCTTTTCCATATCCATGACAGTAATTGAATACGTAGTACATACGCGAGTAAAGGATATACAGTCACTAATTGAAAAAGTAACAGTATACGAGCACCTATCGTAAGGCCATCCCATTTTTGAAAATTATTTAGTAGATTCTATAATAAAATAAGATCTAGTTTAGAAAACACATAAATTATAATGTCATATTGAATATTTTATCGTTTTTACAGAAAGATATTATGCATACTTACATCTTCTATGCACGACTTAGACAGGGGGAAGCACATAAAAAACCCTACTCCAATGATGATATAAGTTAACGTGACGAGGAAATATGCTATGGTTAAATCCCTTCCCTAAAAATAAAATCATTTCTATTTACTCTTTGCAAGGGATCAATATACAAGAAGAAAATACGATTTAAAGTAACTAACATTCTTTTCTTGATTGCGATTATTCTGCATTATGTTGATTACAATATTGTGAATGAAGAATGACATTGCTAATAGCCCGGTAAGTGCGGGAAACGTGGGCCGTATTACCCAACTTATTGTCCATTCGACTTGATCCATATTGATGCCCCACGATGCTGATTTTATTATAACGAAGATAATCAGATACATAACTGACACTGTTCCTGTAAGATACATATTAAAAATTTATATCTCGTAATAGCAGATTTTTAATCAGAATATACAATTGTACACACAATTTTGTATTGTATATACAATAAGATATTAAAAGTATATATATTTAGATGGTATTAAAAATGGCTAATGATGCATATATATGTATACTTACCGAGGGAATTAAACTTTGTGAAAAATGTCGTACTATTAAAATTTAAAAGAGGAAATATTAGTAAGGCCAAAAACATAGGCACTGTGTTTCGTAAATCCCATGCTGGTCCCAGCATATCATATGTTTTTTCATAAGTTACAATAGTATTATTGTCTTGCTCTTTCGGGCACAACACTGTAAATCGAAACGATAAAACTTCAGTGGAGACATTATTCTCGAGGAATAAATTAAAACTTTGTATCTATACATGTATATATACCTTCTTTATATGAAATGTTTTCAGATACACGATGTGTTGACCAGCCAGCTATGCTATCTGCAAAATGAAAATATTGTTTTCCGAGATAGTTCACGAGAACACATATCTTATATTTATGTTAGGACGAGAATTTACCGTAAATAAAATTGACGCTATTATACAGGAAATTGGCCATTAATATCCAGTAAGCTATAGTTGCGCCCAACAATACGGCAATACTAAAGATTCTAGCGATATGTTCTGCCCATTTGCCGAGATATATCCGGCACAAGTCTAAAACTTCTACATCTGATCCACCACCTAATCGTAATATTATTATTAATCGTAATATTATTAATTATATTATATGTTATGATTTATGATAAAAGTTTTATGATAGAAGAGTTTTTTACCATGATATGCATGTGCAACTACGAGACGATAAGCAGTGTACAGGCATAATCCGCTCATCAGTAAGTTGAGGATAATTCCAGGAAAGAATCCGGCCATCGTAATTCCCCATGGCATCGTCAGTAATGACGATCCCAGTATTGTATTCCAAATTGAAAATCTAAAACATAAAAATGAAATAGGTTTGTATTATTTTCATATGTAATTTTCACAGAATCTATAATAAAAAATTTGTTTTAATATAATCTTTATTCAAAGATCAGAGTTATAAAAGATATATACACTCATATATATATATATATATATATATAATCATCAAAATATAACTTGTAATCCTAGAAGAGTACAAGAAGTTGTGATCAGTGCTATTTTCAGTATCAGGTATGAGAAGTACAATTATAAAGTTGTGTGTATATTTAATGATTATATTTTTAAATATATTTTTATATATCTTAACCCTCTTAACACTTTTATAATTGTCATTATATTTTTATCATATTTGCTATTATTTATTATTATAAATTCTCGTTAACTGAAT